TATCAGGTCGGATCATAAGCTTGACCTGACCTGATGTTGACCTGAAAATTTGTCTACCTGACCTGGATTTTTCAGGTTAGATCAGGTCGGATCACAGGTTGATCTAACCTGATTCAGAGCTCTATCTGCCATAATATCATACCTTGAAGTTGAGCATCAGAAACGTCTTTCTGTAAGAAATTTCATTGAGATATTATGCAGATTTATAGCTAGTAATAATGCTTCTCTCCAATTTATAAAAATAAATGAAAGCTAAGAAGTTATAGGGAATTGTAAAAGGATCCGCAATAAGATTAGGATTGAAGTGTTAGTTATCAAGGAAATAGATTTTGATGCAGTTGCTACTTCCTAGAATCTTAATCCTGAAGAAGCTGAAAATCTTAAGTTTGACCAAGAACGCTCTATTATAAATACTATGACACTTAAATGTTTTTATATGTGAAATATTTATAGTGGTAAAGATATAGACAATGAGATTTGGAATAATCTTTGCAATAAGAAGTTTGTAAAATATTTTAGCCTGCCCAAATCTCAAAAACATTTCTTGAAATTATCTCACTTTTGAAAACAAGGCTATGATGAAAAGAGTGTAATAAAAGAGTTAGAGGCCAAAGATATTGTGCAATAGAAAGATACACATTATAAAGCTAATGAGAATATTGAGAAATCAGTAGCAAAAGACTTGTACAAATCATATTTAGCTAATTATTGGAAGGCTATAAGAGAACTCTTTCAAATACTAAGCTTTACTGGTATAGACGATAAGTATATCCTTTCCAGTAATATGATATTAGAAGCATTTACGCAATTATGTGAAAGGTTTATAGAAATTCAAAATCAGTCTTTATTATTCTTTAGCTTTAGGTCTCATGCAAAAGAAAGGCCAGATCTTAAATTGGCTATAAAAGTAATTAATGCAATCTCTGATAATTGGTATGGCTATACAGTTAAAAGCAATCAGAAAAAAATAGGTTCCAAAGAATAGCAAGTTTAGGAATATTCATACAAAATTAATCGCCAGCCATATAATGGTCTTGGTTTTGGAGATAAAGACACATTAGAACTTCTACTATATAGGTCAAATGCAGATATTGAGATCCAGAAACTTTTTGATTCTATAAGATAAGGAAAAATAGTTCTTCAGTTCAGATTGTTATTCAGCCAAGTATCTTAACCACATCAGATAATCCCAAAGGGATCGATTCTGTTTTAGTTTTTTTATTTTATGCTAGACATAGTTATAAATTCCACTATGTGTATTACAGGTTTCAGTATGAGAATAGATTAGCTTATTACAGACAGTGCATATTATTTTAGGATGGATTTTATAATATCTAGCACATCCTGAATCATGCCAACATCCTTTCCTACAAATCATTTCATTTTTTTTGATGTATTGACAGGATAGACGATTTATATAAGGTAATTTTGATATTAATAATCTTAAAACTTCATCTTTACTTTTATTATAGATATTCAAAATTTCTTTGCTTTAGCATTTTTAGCCAAAGCTATGCAAGACTAGAATCCCTTTTTTCATCACTAATTACTAGAAGAAAGTTAAAGCATATTCTGAAATCTCTGATTAAGGAATTTTTTTTGAATTGAATTTTTCTTATATAATATATCTAGATAACAGTTACTATTAACATGGCTACCAAAACAGCTACTCTAAAGACTCAAAAATCCAAAACTAATAACTATATCAGCATCTTAAATCAGTTCCTAGAAAAGTATAATTTGCTTTACTTCAATACAATTAAGTAAACATGCTTCCAAACTTGATACTTTACTTCCTGATTGGATGGCCCACAGATGTGTTAAGATTGCACTTACCAAATGCATTGATAATAGACGTTTATTTAGTAAAAAATAGATAGAAGCTCTCTTGCCAGATAAGAGAAAAAGAAAACTTACTATAGAGGAAAAGGCAAAATATTGTGCTAAGATCAGTGATTTTATAAATATTATTGCTAATCATTGGTGTTTAGGTCCAAAGAGTAATGATGAAAATGAAATTGTTGCCAGTGTTTCATATCAGTCAACATTCCATGTAAAGTTAGCAGAAGACGGTGTAGATCTTGCAATTATTGAAGCATTTGCTAAAGATTAAAAACATATTCAAAAGTCTAATGAAATTCAGAAAAAGTGAACTAAGAAATAAATAATTAATCCAGATAGAATTCCCATACATTTTTCCTTAGCAAATGTGAGTAAAAAGATTCAAAACATGAATGTTTTCAAAATTCCTATTAGAGAGGATCTTGCAGATGTGATAGTGATGTTGAGTATGAGATTAGGAGAAGTAAGATTTCTTCAATTTAATCACCATGAATCGGATCCTTCTAATATTCCAGTATTATATAAAGAAAGCTATTCTTGATACTGCACAGGCTATCTAAAAAGTAAAGGAGAAAAGAAGGAAAACCCTAAACCTGACTATTTCTTTCTATGGAGAAGAATCAGAATGTGCTAGGGAATTACTCACTTGGATTCAAGATACAATTAAAGCTAAAAAGTTATCTAATCCTGTCTTTACTGAAAGTAGAATACGTAATACTTGACCATTTAATGAATTTTTAAAGCAAGAACCTTATAAAACTATACCTAAAAATTAAGAGATTATGAGAGTAAATACGCTTTCAGAGTTCATGATGGTAAAAATCCAACCTCACAATACCTTAAACTCCTTTCGAGAATTGTAATGCAGCAAGAATCAGACCATCTTGATGTGAAAAATAATTATGCTATGAGTAATACTGAGTCAAAAGACAATGGTCCTGAATCTGGCCATGAATCTGAATCTGTTTTCAAGACAAATAACAGTTTAAAACCCCAAATACAGGCTTCTTTACCTGTGTCTCAACCTGATCCTCAAAAGTCTCAAACAATAGAAATGGATTTCATGTTAGCTGAAATTGATGTAATATTAGCTGAAATTCAGAAATAAATTCCTCCCTTGTATCTTTAGTACTGTAGGAGATAAGCCAACTGTTTAGTAAAATATTTTTTAAAGTTGATATATAAAAATAATTGGAAAGCTTTTCTCTTGAAGGTCTTTAAGCGAAGGAGGGTGATTGCGTATTTTTATTTTTTGTTTAAAGATACAGATTATACATGAAGTCGAAATGATCGAAATTACATCATATCACATGATTTTTTATATATAAAAAAAAATGTACAATCTCGGTCAATATCACTCCGATTCATATTAAACAACTATTATTCGATTCCTCGCGACTAGACGAATCCAATGAGCTAACATTCATTGATTTTGAATCATCTTTTTTTTTTTTAAAGATGCAATAATGCATTTATTTATTAATAAAATTCAAAATCAGTTAAAAAAAACATGAAAATCCCCAAATAGAAGAAGTACAAAAGTAGAAAAAATAAAAAATGCTGCCTAATTATCCTCGTTAGTGAACTAACTCCAATAAGACCAACTGGTTGTCCCGTCAGGCTCTGGTAACAATCACTAGTAGAATTACCATTGCCATCTAACTAAATTGAGAAAAACGTTTGACAAATAGTTATTACTG